GGCATGGCACAGCCTGGCATGACACGGCACAGCCTGGCACAGCACAGCCAGGCATGGCACAGCCTGCATTGGCACAGCCTGGCACGGCACAGCCTGGCATGGCACAGCCAGGCACGGCACAGCCTGGCATGACACGGCACAGCCTGGCACAGCCCGGGACAGCGTGGCACGGCACAGCCAGGCACGGCACAGCCTGGCATGACACAGCACAGCCTGGCATGGCACAGCCTGCATTGGCACAGCCTGGCATGGCACAGCCAGGCACGGCACAGCCTGGCATGACTCGGCACTGCCTGGCACAGCTCGGGGCAGCGTGGCATGGCACAGCCAGGCACGGCACAGCCTGGCATGACACGGCACAGCCTGGCACAGCTCGGGACAGCGTGGCATGGCACAGCCTGGCACGGGGTGACGATGGCTCTCACCTGGGGGCCGCGAGGCCTTGTGCCTCCCACCGCACCCGCAGGGCCGGGCAAAGCAGCGCCCGGCCGCGTCCCGCCTGCCCCACCTGCAAACCAGCCTCGGCTCGTAGCAGCCGGCTGAGTCAGGCAGGATCCGGCCACATCCCCTGCCCGCCGCGGGCACCTGCTCCCGTCCCACGCCCGGGAACGGGGACCCCCACGTCCCCGACACCCCTTCAGCCCGGCAGAGCCGACGCCGGCTCCCCGCCGCAGCGCTGAGCCCGCCCGAGGAAACTCAAAGTCTCCCGGGGCTGAGCTCACCGGGTGCAACAACCCACCCATGGCCGCGGCCCCGCGTGGGGGGGGACGGCGGGGCGGAGCGGGAGCCGGGGAGGAAGCAGGGTCCCACTCTGCCCGGTGCCTCGGCAATCTCCCGAGTCGTGGGGGGGGGGGGGGGGTGTGGAACTCACTGCGCTTTTGGGAACCGGCAGCAGCACGCGGGAGGGAGCGAGTCCTGGCTGCCGGGGCCGTGACGTGGGGCAGCCGCGTCACCACCTCCGGATGCAGACGGGTGACGGCCTGGCCCCGCTCTGCTCCTCGTCCTGGTCCCAGCTGGCGGATTCCCCGGGGTCGGGGGGGGGGCAGCCAGGGCGGGGGGACCCCCCGCACCCTCCCGCCCCGTTGCTCGGCAGCGGGGTCCCCAAGCTGCGGTTTGGGGTGCTTGTCCTGGGTTTGGGGGGGGGGGGGGGGGGGGGGGGTGTTCCAGGAGGTCCCGGGGAGGGGACGTAGGAACTGCGGGGTTGGTCGGCTGCCGGCACGGGGTGCGATGGGATAAAAGCGATACGAAAACATAAGGAAAAGCATTGTAGTTTCTGAAGGGATGGGGGGGGGGGGGGGGGGGCACCTGCTCCCGAGGGGACCCTGTGATTAGAGGGATGAGTGCCCCCGCGGGGAAGGGCAGGGGTTGGCATCAGCATGGAGGCATGGGCAGAGGGGTCAGGGGCTCCGGACCCCCCCCCCCCCCCCACTCCTGCCTCCCCTCCCGGTGGGTCCCCCAGTTTGCACCAGCACAGCCCCCACCCCCCGGGGCAGGCATTTTTGCAGGTGCGAATGTCACCCAGTGATGGTGCCTGTCCCCGCCGGGGATCTCTGCGGGGTCACGGGCTGGGATGGGGCCCCTCGGGGACCCCCGAGTGTGGCGGCTGTCCCACCTCGGGTGCGCTGTGGGGCTCAGCACCCCTGACTCTGTCCAGTGAGATGGGACCGGGGGATCAGCTGTAAGCTGGTGGATGAGCCACTTGCGCTGACTGGGAGGTGACAGGGGTGAGGAGAGAGAAGCCGGGTCACCCCCCAGCAGCACACACCCCCCCCCCCCCCCCCCCCCATCCCATCCCATCCCAGCACCCACCGCCCCGGGATGCCTCACGGCGGCTCTTCCCCCAGCACCCACCGGGTGTCGCTGGGACAGCAGGCTGCAGCCCTGCAAAACCCTGAAAAACCCTGCAAAAACCCTGAAAAAATCCTGCAAATCCTGCCTTCACCGGTGGCCTGCCCCGCCTGTCCCTGTCCCTCGGGGGTGGGGGGCGCAACCAGACCCTGCACCTTGCCCTGCTCCGGCTCCGTCCCTGCAGCGGGGACAAGGGTGTCCCTGTGCCCTTGGGGCTGCAGGGACGGGGCTGGCTCGGCTGAGTGCCCGTGGCAGGGGACACAAACACACACACACACACACACACACACACAAACGGTTTGGGGTGCTGCCACGGTTTAACCCCAACCTGCAGCTCAGCACCCCCCCCAGCCGCTCACTCACCCCCCACCGCCCGCCCCGGTGGGGTGGGGGAGAGAATGGGAAAAGGGAGAAAACTGGTGGGTTGAGATAAAGACTGTCTGATAAGGAAAGTGAAAGCTGCGTGCAGGAGCAAAGCTAAATCAGGTATTTCTTCCGCGCTGGCCGTGGCAGGCCATGGCAGCCGGGCCCGTCGGGGGCTCAGGAAGGCAAATGCCACCACCCCCTATGTCCCCACCCCCCCTTCATTCTTCCTCCCCAGCTTGTGTTGCTGAGCAGGACATCCTATGGACGGGATATCCCTCCATCAGCGGGGTCCCATTCGTGTCCCCTGCCCGCTCCTTGTGCACCCCCAGCCCGCTCGCTGGCGGGGTGAGGAGCAGAAAATGCCTTGACGCTGTGCGCGGGCTGCTTGGAGATAGCTAAACCCCCCCCCTGGGTTATCTGCACCAAACCCAAACCAGCCCCGTACCAGCTCCTATGGAGAATATTAACTCTGTCCCAGCCAAAACCAGTACAGGTGCCCAAGGGCGACCTGAGAAGGGGGGGGAGGCAGGTCCAAAATGCTGGGAGAAACCCGGCACAGGGGGCTCGGGGTGGCTGCGGGGCAGCTGAGGTCCCCCTGCGCCCACGGGGACGGGGACGGTGCTTGTCCTGCGTTTTTAATTACGCAGCACGAAGGAGCGGTGCGGCCGGTGGTGAGCCCCCCTCCCAAGAGCGAGTGGCGGCTGGGCAGGGGTAGGGGAGCCCCTGGGGGGTGCTGGGTGCTAGGATCCCCCCCCCCCTACACCACCTTGGACCGCTTCATGCTCTTCGCCCAAAGACACTGCTGCCTGCCCTGCCTGCGCGAGATGGCCGTGCTTCCTCCACCCCCTCCCCGCGCTGCAGCTGAGCCCCCCCCGGCCCCCCTGGCCGTGTGTGTGTGTGTGTGTGTGTGTGTGTGTGTGTCCCCGCCATCCCCTCGCCCCTCCACACCCCCGGCAGATGCGAGCGAAGGCCCCGGAGGCAGATGGCAACATTTGGTAGCCGAGCGGTCCCCGGCCACTCCGGTGACCGGCCGGCTGGGAAGCCCCCTCCCCACCCAGCCAGGGCGTGCAGCGGGGCTCCCCGGGCTGAGCTCGACAAGGACCCCCCCACTTTCCTCATCTGCAGATCCCCCCCCTGCCTTCCCACCCTCCGGGCACCCCCGGCCACAAGAACCATCCCTTGATATCTGCTTTCAGCTGAGAGCGGTGGGGACCGGCTTTGTGGGCAGGGGAAGGCTGCTGCTCCATTACGGGGGGGGGGGCAAAGGGGTCCCCTGTCACCCCAAAGAGCACCGGCTACCCCAGGCGAGTGTGTGACCCCCCAGCCTTGGGGGTGGGGACCCGCTGGCAGGTCACAGCCGCCGGCCCCCCATCAGCCCCCCCCCCCTCCTCCTCGGCTTCATTTGCATCTCATTTCCATGTGAAAGGAGCAGGTCAAGTTGAAAGTTGAAAGGCTGGGGGGGGGGGGCGGGGAGCGGCCGGGCAGGGGCTGCTGCTGGAGGTGAGACCCCGACAAAAGGGCCCGGATCCCCAGGGCCCGGCGTTCGCCTGGCCACAGGCTGCAGCTGCCATCTGTGGGTCCCTGTCACCGTGTGCCGCTGCCACCGCGCAGACAAAGGCCTCGTGCCTGGCGTGTCCCCATCTGTCACCCTCCCCAGCTCCCGGTGCCGAGCTGCCGCCTGCGGAGACGTGCGGGGAGAACCCGGGGGTGTGTGTGGGGGGGGGGGGGGGGGGGGCGGGGGGGTGGGCAGCATCCTTCCCTCTCCCCGCGGGGAAGCGGGGCGCAGGGCGACGGCGGGCCCAGCGAGAGCTTCCCCATCGCGTCCCCAAATCCCTTGGGAAGGTGCCGCCACCCGGCAGAGCTGCTCTGCAGAGCCCGCAGCCGGGGAAACTGAGGCAGGAGCAGGCAGCGGCTGGCCCCAGCTCAGGGCACGTGCCTCAGGGGGTGATTCCCCCGCTGCAAAGCTGGGTGCAGCCTCGGAGGAGCAAGGGGCTGTAATTAAATGCCAGGAATTAGCACCTGACCAAACGAGGGGGTTGAGGGGTGCTCCCAGCTCCAGGGGGGTGCCCAAGACACACCAAGCCTCTGCCTCGCTGCCCCGTGGGTGCTGCCGGGCACCCGCAGCCGCCTCCACCCAGCGCTTCCAGGGAGGATTTGGCCTCTGAGCACATTTTTTGCTTGTTGGTGGCTAGATTTAGCTCCCGGGAGGTCCTCAAAGCAGCACAGGGTGGGGAAGGGGTCTAGTCCCGAGCCCTTGTGGGATGTGAGAGCAGATCCAGTACCAGCACCCGCCTCTCCCTCCGTTCCCAGACACTTTTTCCCCTGTCCTTGCCCCGTCCCCGGAGCAGCAGCAGCAGAGGTGCTGAGCCGGGTGCTGGGGGAGCGCTCCCACGGCGGGCTGCCCTCCCCAAACCCATCCCGGGATGCTCCCAGGGAGGGTGAGGCTCTGGGGCGCTGCCTGGCTCCAACGCCCCGCTCCAAAAATCCACCCGGCTGCCCAGACATGCCCGGGCAGGGGCCGGCTGCCTGCACCCTGCGCGGGCTCGGGGGGCTGGGGGGGGACACACAGCCCCTCTCCGGGCAGCATTTTTCCAGCCGAGCTCGTTGTGCAGATCCAACTTTGCTGTTGCCCAAGTGCCGGGCAGCCCTCGGGCACCCGGGTGACCTGTTTTCTGTGTGCTCCACTCGGCTTTTCTCCCTTCGCCAGCTCCTTGCCTTGCTTCCAAGAGCAAGCTGAAAAACACGAGGGCTGTGAGCGAACTCCGGGCTGCACGGCCCAAACTCCCGGCCCTTCCACGGGAGACGCCTGTCCCACGGGGTGGGCAGCCCCCAGAGCCCCCCCCCAGGGTTTGGGTTCAGGCCAGAAGGTCCACGTGGTGACCCTGCTCCGCTCTGCCACCTCCCTTCGCGCGATCGGGGTTATTTTGCTGCATTTTGGAATTGATGGCGGAGGGTTGCTGCCAGGCGCGTGGGGAAACACGCTGATTTTTCCAAATCAGAGCAGGCCCTGCCCCGCGGGGGGGCTGGGGATTTTCTCCTCGCCCCGAAGCCCTGGCAGGGCATCAGGACCCTCTGCCCGCAGCGGGCAGGGGACACGCAGAGGTTGTTTTGGCTTTGGGCGGTGCGAACACCTCCGGCCGTGCGCCTGGCCGGCACCGTGGGCTGAACCAGCACCCGCGCCGTGACGTGGCCTGGCATGGGGGAATGCCCCGTGGTTTTAATCCCATGGGAGCGCTGAGCTGCCTCGGAGGGCGTCCTCGCCCCGTGCTGACTCAGCGGGAAGCTGCCACTCCAGCGCCCTGCCAGCCGCCGTCCCGCGGGGAGAAGGGGGAGGACGTGGATGGGGAGCAGGAGGAGCGGGGACATCCGGACACCCCCCGGGACGAGTTTAGGGAGAAGCAGCGTGGCAGCCGAGCCGTGCCGAGGAGGCTCCCGCGTCATAGGGCCGATCCAGGTAGGCGGTGGAGGGGATGGAGGTGCTGTGCTGGTCCTGTGCCAGCGGCGTGGGGCTGGGTCACTCGGCGAGGGGGTGGCACAAGGCGACCCGGTGTGCCAAGCGAGCCCGGCTGGGCTGCCCACTCTGGGAGGGACAGGAGCTGGGGCCACAGCATGAGTGGGGCCGTCAGCCCCCCAGGCACTCGAATCCCCACGCTCCGGCCGGGTTTGGGGCACGGGAAAATGTCGCTGTGTTTTTGGGGGCTGTGTTGGGGGGGGGTGGGTGGGTTGGCTCAGCTTGGCTCGGCGGGGCTTGGCGCAGCCCGACTCCGTGCCAGCGCAGGCGGCTCAGCGCCGCAGGAATGTGGAGCAGCAGGTTGTGCCCTTGACGGCCAGGCCAGGGAGGGGAGCCCACGCCGGCCACGGGCGTCTGTGCTGGGGGGCCCAGTGTCCTCACCCCTGCACCCCAACAGCCATCCCCTCCGTGGCTGAGCCTCTGGCACCGAGCTGAGCGCCAGCACCCGATGTAGGGATGTGTCCTCACTTTGCTTTACCCGGGGGTGGGGTGGTATGTTTGCACCCCCGTGCCGAGCTGGGAAGCCCTCCCTGTGCCGCAGGGTATGAGGACAGTGGGGTCCGAGGGGTGCTGCGGCACAGGCACCCAGTTCTCCCCAAACCCCAGGTCTCTTGCTGGGCTGGGGGGGCTCACAGCCCAGCCCTGCTTCCCGTGGGGGGCTGTAAGCACGGCTCGGGGTGGGGGGGGGTTCCCTGCTTGTCCCTGTCCTTGCCCAGCGAGGACGTCGGTGCCTTGCTCTGTCCCCAGGTCACCCCCACGCTGGGCTCCCCGCAGAGGGGTGCAGAAAACCACCCCGGGGGAGCAGGCAGGGGGGTCTGCGCTGGTGCTGGAACTGTCCCCGTGCCTGGCCAACCCCCCTGCAGACCCTTTCCAGGTCAGAAAGCAGCGTGTGTGTGTGTGTGTGTGTGTGTGTGTGTGTGTCCCAGCCCCCAGGCAGGGGATGGGAAACCGGCGAATGCACCGGCGTGGCTGCTGCGTGGGGACCCCCCTTGGGGTACAGACCCCAACGCGGGGTGGGGTGGGGGGGAGCAGTGTGCTGGCACGCAGGGGCTTGCAGGCGGTGCAGCCGTGGCTCGGCGTGGCCGTGGCGTGGGGCTGTGGGGGCCGGGGTTGGCTCCTGCCGCCCGCGCCCGGCGCTGGGACGGGCCCCGGGTTGCACCCAGGAAGTCGTGTAGGCAGGCGAGCGGCTTGACGGGGCCGGGGCCACCGGAGGAGGGAAGGGGGCTACTGCACGCTGGCCTCTGCCGTGCCCGCCGCTGCACCCGGTGAGTGCCGGCGCTTGCTGTCACCCCCCCCCAGGGTTTGCTGTCACCCCCCCGGGCGCTGAGCAGCTCGGCAGGGCCATGGGGAGGGGAGGGGAGGTGGGGGCCGATCTGACCCCACACATCCCCCCCGCCACCCCCTGAACCCCTCTGTGTGTTGGGACCCGTCGGGCTGTGCCCACCCCCGGGGGGGCTGCAGAGGGGTGCGGGGCTGGTTTGGGCCCCCCCCCCCCCCCCCCCTCAAACCCCCGCTGTGGGCGGGCTGTTGCCGCTGCGCGACCGTTGGGGCGGGAGGCTGAGCTTGTTGGGGTTGGCGGGGGTCCAAGGACATGGGGTGCAGGGGGCCCCAGCGTGGCTCCTGGCACACCTCGGCTGGGGAAACGCAGGTGGAAACCCCCACGGGTGCTTTCCAAAGAGTTCAGGGGTGGGAGGGGGGAGCCTGGGAGCAACCCCGGAGCCTGCAAGGGGGCTGAGAGCTGAGGGAGAGGCAGGGAGTGGAGCCCCGAATTACCCAGCCTGGTGGGGTGGTGGGTGAGTGGGGCTGGTGACGTACCCCTGGGTGGGGGGGATACACCCCTGGGTGCGGGCGATGCACTCCGGAGTGTGGGTGATGCACCCCTGGATGCAGGTGTGCTCCCCTGGGAGTGGGTGATGCACCCCTGGGAGTGGGTGATGCACCCCTGTATGCAGGCGTGCACCCCTGGGAGTGGGTGATGCACCCCGGGAGTGGGCGATGCACCCCTGGGAGTGGGTGATGCACCCCTGGATGCAGGCATGCACCCCTGTAAGCAGGCGTGCACCCCTGGAAGTGGGTGATGCACCCCGGGAGTGGGCGATGCACCCCGGGAGTGGGTGATGCACCCCTGTAAGCAGGCGTGCACCCCTGGGAGTGGGTGATGCGCCCCTGGGCACAGATGATGCACCCCTGGATTGGGGGCTACCCTCCCACCCCCCCCCTTGGGAACAGGCAGAGCTGTTGGTGAGGGGCTGCCAAACCACAGCCACCCCTCTCCGCCCGCCCGCGGCCTCTCTCCCCGGGGTGCCCCTCGCCGGGGCTGGGGGTGCCCTCCCCGCCGGCCCCATTGGCCCGGGTGCGGTTTGAAGGAGGCTTGCTCCGCGGATTGGCCGGGGGGACGTTTCGGGGAGGCCGCGGTGGCGGGCGGAGGCGTGGTCCCTGCCTTCAAATAGGCGGCCCGGCACGGCCGGCGCAGACAGTGCGGCACCGCACGGCCTTTGTCTAACGGCGGGGCCGGGGGCGCGGGCAGGGACCACCACCCGCCCCCCGCCACCGCCCCTCACTCCGGCCCCTCTTCGCAGCCGACGGCACGTGAGCCCTTCCCCGTGCCGCGGTGCCGGCGCGGAGGATGCCCGTCGTCGAGGCGCTGCAAGCCGGTGATGCCGTGAAGCGGGTGACGGTGACGGCGCCTTTCACCTCGGCCATGCCCGTCCGCATCCTCCGCAAAGGCCCCGCGTATTTCCGCCGGCGCGCCGAGCCGGGTGCCGGGAAACCCAGCGCGGTGGAGAGGCTGGAGGCCGACAAGGCCAAGTACGTGAAGAGCCAGCAGGTCGCCAGCACCAAGCAGGAGCCAGTGAAGCCGCCGCTGCTCAAGCAGCCCCTCTTCACCCCGGGCGTGCGCCGGGTCGTGCTCACCCCCAGCCGAAGGGCACCCCCAGGGCCGCGCCGCGCCGAGGCTGGTGGCCCGAAGACCTCCTTGGACCTGGAGATCCTCAACAACCTCATCAACTTCTGCGACAGCCCCTTCCCCAAGGCAGAGAGCCCACTGGGGCGGGAGCGCAAGCGGCGGCCGGAGGCGCTGGCGGTGCTGGGCGATGGGGCAGAGGGTGCTGGCAAGCCGTCGCCGGAGACCCCCGCTGCCTCCAAGCCCCCCGGCAGCGTGACGGTGCGGAGGGTGGACGTCCGTCCCTGCGGGGCTCCGCGGGGCCAGGCGACCCCGGTGCCCGTGTCCCCCACCCCGGGTGGGCTACCGGCCACCCCGCCACGGAGCTCGCCCGCCCGCCCCGAAAGCGCCCGCCGGCAGCCCCTGCTGCACCGCTCCAAATCGGACCTGAGCGACCGGCTCTCGCGGGCCACCGCCGACCTGGAGCGCTTCTTCAACTACTGCGGCCTCGACCCCGAGGAGGTGCAGGACATGGGCGCCGAGCGCTTCGCCCGCGCCAGCTCCGACATCGTGTCCCTCAAGTTTCACAGCGTGAGCACGGCCAGCTCGGAGGGCGGCCGCTCGCCGCCCAGCGCCGCCACGCCGGAGGGGCGGCCGGCCGAGCGCGTCCCGTACGGCATCTCCGTCATCGAGCGCAACGCCCGCGTCATCAAGTGGCTCTACGGGCTGCGCCAAGCCCGGGAGCCCCAGCAAGTCTCTGACGTGTAGCGGTGCGGCGGCGGGGACGGGTTGTGGGCCACGCCGGACGGGGAGGGAGTGGGGACGGGACCCTCGAGCGCAGCCCCTTTCTTGCTTCCCTGCTCCCCGTGCCGCAGCGGCGCTGGCACAGCCCCAGTGAGGTGGCCAGGCATCCTTCCCGCTGGTGCTGGCTCTGTCAGGCCCCCGTGCCGGCCCCGGAGAGCCAGGTCCCCGTGGGACAGTAGAGGACACGTGTCCCCAACACCCTCCCCTCACCTGCCCCCATGGGACCCCACGTCTGGTCGGCCTGCCTGCGCTTCCCGGGTGCTCCCGCCTGCCCTGCACCCATGGGTGGCGGGGGGAAGGGGCCAGATCCCCCCTGCACGGAGCAGGGATGCAGGAGCAGCCCCCCCCCCTGCAGCCTCCACCGAGGGGGCCACTCTGCCTGGGGTTGGGGGGGCTGCATCCCCGTCTTAATGCTGAAGGTCTGGGAGAAGCTGGGCGCTTCACGGGGCAAAGGGATGGGGGGGCAAACCCGGCTCCCCCACTTCAGGCAGCACAGGGCTGCGAGTGTCTGCGAGGAGTTGTGTCCCCTCCCGGGTGCCAGCGGGCACGAAGAGCCCTGGTATTTATGAAGACAACGGTCGTTGGTCTTTTCCTCATTTTTACTGTTTTTCCTGATGTTTGAACTGTAAATAGTAATAGTGATAATAACGCAGCCGGTTTCATTAAATCCCTGGGCTTTGGAGGCCGTGTGCGTTGCTGTCTCTTGAGGCGGCGGAGGTCGGGATGGGGCAGGGGCAGGCAGTGCCGAGCGGCGGGGGTGCCGGGGGGGTGCGATGGGGTGCCGTGCCGCGGCGTGCCAGCGCGGGGCCCGGCGGGCCCGGCGGAGGCGGCGGTTGGGTCCGGCAGGTCCCGGCAGAGCCCTGGCCGGCGGGATTCCCCTCTGTGCCGCAGCCAGCACCCCGCCGACCGCGCCTGCAGCCCTCCCCTGCCTCCGCATCCCGCTCCGGCAAAGCGCTGCCGAGCTTGGCCGAGCCCCGGCTCCCCCGGGACTGTGAGATGGGGGCGGTGATAGCGGAGACCTCCCAGGGGGGAGGATAAAAGTCGGTGCAGGGAGAGCTTTGAAGATGAAAAACGCCCGGGCGTTATCCCCCTCGGGCGGCCTCGCGCAGCACCATGGTCCCCCCCTTCCAGCACCGGTGAGGTCCTCCTGCTCCTTGCCGCGCGGGCAGGGAGCTGTTGGGGAAGGTGACACCAAAGCCACCAGCGCCTGCACCCAAGGGACCCCGGCTGGACACCGGCCCTGCCGCTGCCTCCCCCCGGCTGGGGCCGTGGCTGCAAATTGCTCCCCCGGTGCAGGGAGCCAACCTGCCCGGCACAGGCACCGCTCGGCAAATGCCACGTGCATGGTGGCGGTGATGGCCCAGTGACAAGGGCCAGCTGAGCACCCCAGGGCTGCAGTTTTCATTTTTGAAGGGGTCAAAGCCGCTGCCGCCCCTTCCCTCCCCAGCCAGCGCTTCCCCCCAGCTCAGCCTTGCTCCATCCAGCTCTTGGGGTCCCCAAAAAAGCCCTCACGGGGGTAAAATATTTCCCACCCCAGCCCGGCTCCTGCACTGGGCATGTCTGCTCGGAGCCACCGCCCAGGGTGCAGGATCCATCCAGCTCCCGCTGGGGTACAGGGAGGTCCGGCTGCCTGCGATGCGGTGGGCGGGGGGGGGGGACAGGGTGGGCAGGATGTGGTGGCCAGGACGCGGTGGCCAGGACACCGAGGTGGCATCTGGCCGGTGAGTCAGGCTGAGGAAACGGGCTGGGGAGGAAGCGCACACATCCTTAATGATCAAGGGACCTTAATGATAAAGTGGCACGTGGGGTGCTGGGTGCCTCCCCGAGGCACTGGACACCAGGGGGTGACAGGGACCCCAGGGACTCCCTTGGGGACAGGCTTTGCCCCCGGGGAGAGCTCTGCAGGAACTGGATCCCCACCGGCGCCTGGGACCGGCTGCGCTGCCGGATTCCTCGGCCCGGCGTGTCCAGGGCTTGGTCTAAATTTGCTCCTATTGCCAAGGAGAAGGGGGGGGGGGGGCCCAGCAGCGAGTACGGGCCGAGCAGCCTGTGTGCATGCCTGCTTGTGTGTGCACGTGTCCATGCGCACGCATGTCCATGCGCATGCATGTCCGTGTGCACGCGCAGATGCACGGACAGCAGGAGCCGTGTTCTCGGGGGGGTGGGGGTGTGTGGGTGTGGGGGGGTGTGTGTCAGAGCCTTCAGCTGACCCCATGAAAACCTTGGCACGGCAGCGTTGAGGCGACGTGTGACACCCCCACCCCCCCCCGGGAATGTCCCCCCCCTTTGCGTGTCCCTGCTGGGGACAGCAGGGTGGCCCCAGTGCTCCCTATCACCTTCCCTGGCAGCTGCTCCCCGCAGCTCCAGTTTCGGTGGGGAGACGCAGCTGAGCCCGTCTGTTATTTCGAGGAAGGAGGGGCAGTCGGATGGGGGGGAGTGGGGGGGGTCCATTGCCCTCGCACTCCCCCCCCCCCCAATGCCGGGGTCTCCCATGGGTGCCCCTTGTGCAGGCAGGAGCTGGGAGAGAGACAAAACCAGCAGCACTCCAGTCTGGGGAGCCAGGCCCAGCACCCCCGGGGTGGGGGCCGCCCCCCTGCCTGGCACGCAGCCCCCAGCCCAGGTGCAGCCGCGCCGGGGGGCCGGGGGGGACCCTGGGCCCGCAGCCGTGCCGGGATGATTGCCGCCTGCAGTGCGGCTCCCAGGCAGCCTCCCCCCACTCCCCCCCCCCCCCCCCCCGCCTTGTATTTTCCATATTTTAATTATTCCGCGCAGCCCCGCTGATGAGCATCTTCTGGAAGTGCCAACTACGTCACGTGCTTTAATCACCGTTAATTAGCGAACGCCTGGGGACGGCTTTGCAGGCAGGGCGTCGGGAGCCTCCTCGCTGCCCGTGCCAGCACCCTGCCAGTGGGTCCCACCGTCCCCACGGGGAGGACAGCGTGTCCCTGCGCCCCTCGCCCCGCTCCGGGGTTCTGGGGTTGGGCGACGGCGAAGGGTTCCCCAAGTCCTCAGCTCTGCGGGGTCTCTGCAGTCACCCACTCGGGGCGAGAGGGACCTGTTTTGGGGAGGGGTGCGTGGGTGTCAGGGAGGCAGCGGGTCCCTGGCAGATGCCACCGCTGCCACCGGTCCCCAAGGGCTTGGGTACCAGTAAGACAGGTGACCTGGGGACCCCCCGGGGGTGAGGGGTACTGGGCTGCAAGGTACCACTGGTGGTGATGGGGCTGAGGGGGACAGGGACACCTGCAGAAGGGTGACAGGGACAGGCTGTGGCTGGGTGTCACCGAGCTCTGCCCTCCCCGGGGCTCACCTGTGCACCGAGCTGCTCAGGGTCTCATGGAGACACCTGGGGTCTGTCTGTCCTGCCCTGTCCCACAGCCCTTCCTGCCCCCCCCCCCCCCCTTTTCTCCCGGTTGCCGAAGTGGGTGGAGGGGTGCCTGCCCTGAGGTTGTGGGGTGCAGGGACCCCACTCCCACTCTGCCGACTCTTGGAAAATAAATATCTCTCCATACAAAAATAAAAGCGCCTCCAGCCCAAACTGCGTCAGAACCTTGGGGGGGTGGGGGCGGCCCCCAGCTGCCCCGCACCCCGCTCTTCCCAGGCTGCTCCCCAGTGTCCCCTCAGGGTGGATTTGCCACCTCAGTGCAACCACGGGCAAGGGGGTCTCAGCCTTGTGCCCCGCTTCCCCCTCCTGCACCCCCCTTTCATCCCTCCCCTGCCCCAGATCAGACCACCCCCCCCTCCCACCTCGCCAGGACTCTTTCCCCCGCCACCTCCCACCCTCCAGCCCCATCTCAAACGCAGCCCTGTGACCCCTCAGCCCCATCCTGCCCGTCCTGGGGCTCTGCCACCCTGCCTTCACTGCCTGACCCCCCCTGCCTGCCCTCCCCCACCCCCCCCCCAGCCTGGGGACAGTCCCCCCAGTGACTCCCACCCACCCCAGGGGCTGGAAATGCCCATCCTGGTCCTGCGAGGAGCAGTGGCAGTGCTGCCACGCGTGGGGACAGTGGCTCGGGCCCACACACGCGGGAGGGGACAGCCCATGCCCCCCTGCACGGCCATGCCCGGGGACCCCCACCCTCGCCAGCTCCCCTAATCCCATGGCGAAGGCGGCAGGGTGGGGGCTCTGCAATGCCCCAAAACCCCCAGAAAAGGCAAAGCCCTCACCGTGCCTTGGAGCCTGGCTGAGGGTGCACGGAGTCCTGGGGGGGTCTTGGACCCTGCCCCCCCCCCCCCCCCCATCCTCAGGGCAAAACCCAGAGGCCCAGCAGGAGGACGGGGAGAAGCTGAGGTGGGACCGGGTGGTTTCCATGGGCTGAAGCCCTTTGCAGCGGGGAGGGGGCTCTGGTTTAAGTCAGAGCCCCCCTCGCCATCTCCGGCAGCACCAGCTCCTCACTGCCCGCGGGTCCCTCCGGCACAGCCGGGGTGCCCCCCCCTCCGCCAGGCGCAGGCTCCCGGAAGATGGGATCAACACAAGTTAAAAAAAAAAAAAAAAAAAAAAAAAAAATATATATATATATACATATAACTGGGGAGGGGGGGAAAAGCTTCCCTGCTCAGTCTCCACCAACCACCCCTTCTCCCGGACCCTTCCCGCCGTGCCGGGCTGGTACCAGTTGCGGCACGGCCCTGGTTGCCGGCGTGCTAGAAGCCGGTGGGTCGTATCAGCATGCGGGTGCCCTTCAGGGAGTAGCTGGGCCCCTGGAAATGGTGCCAGCGGATGCCGTTGAGCTTGCGGATGTTGTGCCGCGCCGGGTAGTAGATGCCGTTGAGGTTGGAGAGGCCGCAGGCATCGAACCACCAGCCTGCGAGGAGGGAGGGAGAGAGGGTGGCATCCCGGGTGGGCGCCCATGGGGTGCTGCGTGGGGTTTGGGGGGGGGGGGGGTGGGGGGGTTGTCCCACCTCTCTCCGCTCACCTCCCGACAGCATCTGGGCGCACTTGCAGAGGCAGTTGTCGTTGTCGGCGTCGCGGGTGCTGAAGCGGGTGCCCTGCAGCGCCATGCCGCTCTGCTGCCCGGCCGTGCCGCTGTAGTCCTGCAGCGAGAGCCTGTCGCCAGCCCCCGCCCGGCATGGCCACGGCCACCGTCAGTGCCAGGTGGCTACTGGTTGGTGGGGGTCGGGGGGTGGGGGGGGGGGGCGGTGTCACAAAGCCCCTCAGCCCTGCTCCGCAGCGGTGGGGTGGGGTGTTGAATGCCGTGGGGCGCCATGAGCTGAGGAAGGGCCGGCGTGGAGGGATGCGGGCAGAGATCCTGCAGCTCCAGCTTGGGCTGGGTCTGCTGGCTTGGAGGGCCTGTCCTGAGGGTCCCCGGGACGGGGGGGGGGGGGCGGGATGTCATGCAGAGAGGGCCCCCCCCGAGGCTCCTGGAGCCCTCTTGGCTGGGGGTCGGCGTGGTGCGTGCACGGGATGCCCAGTGCAGGGGATCTCCACCCCCCCAGCCCAGCACCGAAGCACCCAGGTCCCTGCCACCCTCCTGCCCGTGGCCAGGCCTGGGTTCCTCGCAAGCCCGGCGGCAGGAGCGCGGCATCCTTCCCCCCCCGGGCCTGGGGTGCCCAGCACCCCTGGGAGTGCCCGGTGGCCACGGCCGTGTCACCCCCACTTGCCCAAGCAGCGGGCGCTCTGGCTGCCTGCTGTCACCGCTCCCGGCTGAGATGGGAGATCCCGCTGCCCGTAACCCCGCCGGGAAATCCCAGTGTGATCCTGCACCCCTGGGGCACGGCAGCCAGCCCTCGCCCGTGGCCACCACTGCCCTCGGGGCTCGGGGACAGTGGGAGGTGGCTGGGTGACCGACCCCCCCCACCTCCCTGTGGTGCTTCTCTCCTACCTGTAAAGCTGCCGCTCGCTCCCCAGCTGGAATTTCCCGTAGTGGGCATAGACCTGGCCGCCCTCCCAGTCCCGCAGCTCGACGCGCAGGGCGTAGGGTGCCTGGCTCGTCAGGAGGTGCACGGCCTCGTTACCCAGCCAGTACTCACCCGCCGCGTCCCCAAAGCCCTGGGGAGGGGGGAGCAGCGGGGCGGGTGAATGTGGGGTGGCCCCCGGCTACTCCCCCCCTTCCCCGGGGCAGGGATGAGGGGGGGGTTGCAGACCTGTTTGTACTCCCTCCAGCTCCTCTGGAAGCTGAGGCTGCCGTTGACGCGGAGCTGGATGACGGTCCAGCCCCCCCGCTCCGTCTCCATGTCGCAGTACGCCTGCAGCGGGGAGAGCCGGGACGGGCTGCAGAGTGGGGCGACGAGGTGGGAAGTGGGGTGCCTATCCCCCCACCCCCCCCACCCCCCGGGCTGGGCAGCTCAGCATGGGTGCTAGAGCTTGCAGAAGGGCTGGCGAGCATGTGCTGTGCCCAGCGCCTGGTTTAGGGGGGGGTCTCTCCTCCCTCCGTGACCGTGGGCAGGGGCTGGGGCACAGCGCTCATGGGTGGGGATGACTTTAAAATCATTTTTTATCCTCTGTCTGACAGCCTGGGCAAGCCCTGCCTTCACCCCCCCCGCCCCCCGCACCCCTCCGAGGCACCTCACCCCCCACAGCCAGATGGGGTGGGGGGCACTGCCGCGGCGAGAGGGGGTTGGGACGTGCCAGGCGACAGCAATAACCCACCCTGGTGCGGGGTGGCACTGGTGGGCACTGGGTGGCACCGGGGCCGGGCAGCACCCCGGGGTGCTGCGGTGGGAGCCCTTTGGGGGCTGTGCTCACCTTTTTGGGCTCGCTGAGGTTGGCGATGCGGAGGGTGTAGACGCCGCTGGCGTGGATGCCGGCCCGCTGCACCTCGGCACAGTCCTGGAAAAGCTGCTCCTGCCCGGGCAGCGGGGCTGTGGCAGAGGGGATGGTGAGCCGGCAGAAACCCCGCCGCTCCCGCAGCCCTGCCTGGCTCTGTCGCTCTTCCCTTCTCCCTTTAGGATGTTTTTGTGCCCACGGATTATTTTTCTTTCTTCTGCGCCGTCTCCCCAGGGCTGGGTGAGGCGGCCGTGCTGCACCGGCGCTGCCGCCAGCCTAAGCCGGGGGATTTGCCACGGCTGGGGACGGCGTCGGGCCATGGACCCTCCCTTGGGGGCTCGGATGCGATGCAGGGCTCGTTTTTGGGGGGAAGTGACCCAAGCCTGAGCTGAGCACAGGGGCTGGCCCAGCAGCCTGGCCCCTCTCGGGAAGGGCGAGGGGCTCTCCCGCTGCCTGCGCCCTGCCCGCACTGCCCGGCTCACCTCTGCCCTGGGAGACGAGGCGCACCAGGCTCTGCACCGACTCCAGCAGCTGGACCTGCTGGCGCTGGAGCAAACTGGTGTTGGCGCTGGTGGCCAGCAGCGACTTCTCCAGCTCCTCGATGGTGCCGCTCTGCCGGCTCACCAGCCGCTGCAGCTTCTCCTTCTCCGAGCGGGCCCCCGCCAGCTCTGCCTGGTGCTTCGTCTCCATCTCCAGCACCCGCACCTCCAGGATGCTGGAAAGGGGGAGGCCGTGGTTATGGGGAGGGGGGGGGGGGCTGTGGCTGTGCTGGGTGGGGAGCGGGTGGCAGAGCGGACCCAGCCGCAGCTGCGGTGCCCCAGCGTGTCTGCGGGGACACAGCGTTGTCCCCATCCTCTGCTGCAGCCACCGAATTGCACCATGCCAGGCACCTCCGGGACGTGCTTGAGGAGACCAAACCCCAAGGGGGCTGTGCAATCCCCCAGGGACCCCAGCTAGCCCCTGGAGGTGTTCAAGCCCCCCCTCAAAGTGCAGCTGCGCTCCTGGGGTGGGAAAAACCAGCCTCCCCCCCCCGAGGTCTGGGGGCTTCAGGGTGTTCCCGGGTGGCCCCGGGTCCTACTTGTTCCTGTTCTGCAGCTTGTGGATCTCGTTCGTCTGCAGCAGCAGCTGCTTCTCCAGCTTGGTGGTAGACAGGGAGTTCTCCTGCAGCTGCATCTCGATGCGCGACGTCTGGTTCAGCACCTGCGCCGGGAGCCGAGGGGAGCATGGCCGTGAGCAGCCGGGGCCACGCCACGTCCCCGGTGTCACCGGGCTTGCTGCTCCCCGGCAAACCCCACCCTGGGCACCCCTGAGCACCCGCGTGTTCAACCACGCATCGCCGCGGGGCGGGGAAGCACCCCGCTTTTAGAAGCTGAGAAACCAAGCCACAGCCCTGGGGGTGGTGGGGCCGTGGGGACATGGGTGCTGGGCGCCCTGGCCAGCCCCCTCACCTGGGCCTCCACGTCGGTGAGCTTGCGGCTCTGCTCGGCGCTCTGGTTGAGGAGGGTGCTGCTGATCTCCAGCATGGTGGCAGTTTGGTTCTGCACCGCCGTCTGCCGCAGCTGCGCCATCTCCGGCTTCATGCTCGTCTGGATGTAGCTCTCCAGCTGCGGAGGGGGGATAGCGGGTCGTTTGGGCAGCCCGGCCGAGCCTGGCAGCGCTCGGCACGGCGCCCGGGCACATCCCTGGGACCGTTTTGGCGTGGCACGACCCATTTCAGGGCCATTTGAAGCTTCTTGGGAGGACAAAGGGATCTCCCTGCCGAGGTTCCCAGCCTGCGGGACCAGGCACGGGCTGGTGTGTGCCCGGATCTGCTGGCAAACCGGGGCTGCTGCCCGCCTGGGGTGGCCTGAGCCATGGGAATGGCCGGCATCGGCATCGGTGCTGGCGTTGGCATCGGCTGCCAGCCCCCAGCCCCAGCGTTCCCAGGGTTGGGGCTGTGGAAGCTGAGGGGGGAGGGTGTCACCACCAGCCAGGGAAGGTGGGTGTCCGTGTTCCCCCCCCCCCCCCCGCCCCGGTGTTGCCCCACCACGGGAAAGCACTCGGGGCTGGGAAGAAGCCGGCTGTGCACACAGCTGAGATGTCGCTTCCGCTTTCCCAGCCCGCGGGGGGAGCTGCCTTTCCCAAAGGCTTTGCTATTTCTGGCGGCCCCACCATGAGGTTCCCATTCGGCCTTTCCCCCGGGGCGAAGGCCTCGGCGGGGGGGGGGGGGGGGGGGGGGGGGGGGGGCCCGGTCCCTCGGCGGGGGCCGTGGGGAGCGGAAGGGGCCACGCTGCCGCCCACGCTGGGAAAGCAGCCCCGCACCGGGCAGCCCCCAAGAGCAGGAGGGGATGGGATGTTGGGGGGGGGGGGGTGTGCTGCCCAGCTCCCTCCACCCCACAGATCCCCCCCCGTCCCCACACCGCCCGCATCCTGCTGCCCTGGTGCAGACAGAGCCCCGCATCCCCCCGAGCATCCCGTGGGGTTGTGGTCCAGGAGAGACCGGCCGGGGTGGGTGGGTGCTTTCGGGCGGGCAGGCAGCGGGGCTGGGATGCTCGGCACGGGAGCGGGGCCGGCAGCGGGCCAGGGCACAGGGCTCCGCTCTGCACTTGTTTGCACATGATGAAATCTCGCTGGCAGCAGCCGGGCCCGTTCCCTCCTCCCCAGACCCGGCGCAGCGGCGAAACCAGCACCCCGCCGGCAGCACCCACGGAGGGCAGGAGGGTCCCAGGGGCTGGGCACCCCAGCTGGCGTTGCCTGCACCCCGCTTCTCCAGGGATTTTCCCTCACGGGAACGTGCTCGCAGGGAGGAAGCAGGGAAAGGTCGGAGAGCCGCGTCTGGAAAACATTTCCCCAAGCTGAGTGATTGCTGGAGAGTTTCCCTTTAACCACGTCGTTAATCTTGTTGCTTCACAGGGTTCGAAGAGGCCTTTTCTCCCTCTCAATCTTGCTGCTTTTTTTTTTTTTTTTTTTTCTTCTTCTTTTAAATAAACATATCTCTGAGCCCAAGGGCAGTACATACCCATGGAAAAGGTCAGGCTGGCACAGGGAGGTTGGAGCCCAGCCGGAGAAATAGCCCCAGCTCCTGGCCCTGGCAGGTCACTGGGACCAGCTGGGGCTAGAGGGGGGCACAGTGTCCCCAGCCTCGGGTGGCACAGGGGACCCAAGTGGGACAGTCTCTGTGCAGAGAGCTGGGAAGCTGGGCTCGCCCTCCTTTCGCCCCACAGGTGCCGAGGCTTGCCTGGGCTCAGGGGGGGGGGTCCCACCAGCCTCGGGTCCTCCCCAGGAAGGGCAGAGCAGCTGGGGGGGGACACACCGTGGTGATGTGGGTCACCCCAAAATGCTGCCTGGGAGCAGGAGGGATCCCGGCCACGCCGCCGTCCCGGTGCCAGCCACCCATTGCCCGTATTTGGATGATCCTGTGACGCCTTCTTGCAGTCACATCCTGCCCCCGTCCCTGTCCCCATCCTGCCCCAGTATTTCTAAGCATCCTAAAAGCACTGGCTGGGGGGCAAGGTCAGAAGTGGGGAGAAAGCCCCCCACTCACTGCCTGCGCCCCGTGCCAGGGTGAGCAGCACTGGCCCCTGTGCTGTGGGTGCCCCAGAGCTGCCACCCTGCCACTGCCCCACTGGGGACCCCATCCCACCCCGAGCCCCCCCGCGCCCCAGACCTGGAGGCACCATCAGTTGTTTGTGTTTGAACTAAAATTAATTCCTCCTGAGACAGGAACAGTCGACGGGACGGCAAGCAGAAGCCACGTGTCCACGTGGGCTGGGTCCTCACCATGTCCCTGTCCCTCCCGGCCATGGGGGGCTGCACCCCACTGCCTCGGGTGGGGTTTTGGGGGGATACTGGGGCTGGGGGGAGCCTTGCTGGATGCTGGGGGTGCCTGTTGATTCTGGCAGGCCCCCCTCCAGCCCTCAGCACCCGGCAGGGCTCCCCGGGCCAGGGCAGAGCAGACGGGGATGCGACGTTGTTTACAATCTGTCCCTGAACCCGATGCCTCCTTTGAGCCCTGGTTTGTTTTTTCAGGCCTGGAGTCCGACCAAAACAATCCTCCCTGGGCAGCTCTGGTTAAATTAGGAAAGCCGAGGAACAAGAGAAAAAAAATAGCTGTAAGCTGCCTCTAAATGGAGAGGGCTGTGCTGCGGGGTGGGATGGGGTGGGATACTGGCTGCTCAGTGCCCCACTGCCCCGTGCTCCCTTGGGGCTGTGGTGTGGGGCATCGCTGCCCACAGCTGCCCAGATGTGCTGTGGCTGCCTGCTCTGGGACAGGGCCTCGCGCCCCTGTGTTGGGACCCCCAGAACCCCGCTTTGCTCAGCCATGCCCGAAGGCTGCCCTTGACCTGAGAGAAGCTCAGAGCTGGTCTGGGCACCCCAGGGCATAGGGACCCCGAGGCAGGGACCCCAGGGTGCAGGGACTCCAGCACAGAGGGACCCCAAGGGCATAGGGACCCCAAGGCAGGGACCCCAGGGTGCAGGGACCCCAGGGTGCAGGGACTCCAGGGTGCTGTGACTCCAGGGTGCTGGGACCCCAGGGTGCTGGGACCCCAGGGTGCTGGGACTCCAGGGTGCAGGGACCCCAGGGTGCTGGGACTCCAGGATGCTGGGACCCCAGGGTGCTGGGACTCCAGGGTGCAGGGACCCCAGGGTGCTGGGACCCCAGGGTGCTGGGACTCCAGGGTACTGGGACCCCAGGGTGCTGGGACTCCAGGGTGCTGGGACCCCAGGGTGCAGGGAGCCCAGGGCTGTGCATGCTCAGCAGACCCAGGATATCCCTCAGGGATGGAGATTCACTGGTGGCTGGCTCTGCTTGTCCCTCTGCGACACCTCGGGCTGGCTTTCAGCAGAGCCGTGGCTCAGCGTTTTCCCAGCTTTTGAGGAATTTGTCATCTAGGATGGCTGAGGGGGACAGGGGACAGCCCTACACATCCCTGCCACCCGCCCTTGTCCCCCACGGCCAGGAGAGGCTCCCCGAGCAGCGTGGCTGGCACCGGCCACCCCCAGGACCTCTGCTCGGTGTGTTTGGGGCTCGGCACGCACCGTCTCGCAGCGCTGCTGAGCCGGGGCCATCACCCAGGAAATCGGGGTGCAGAGGCACTCAGGTCCTGCTGCACCCCGGTGGGACACTGCCGGGACGTGGATGGGGCTGTGCTGGCGCTGCCGCTCGGCTGGAGGGTCCGTGACAGCCGGGGACAAGCCTCTCACCCTCTTATCAGCACAGGTGCCCAGGGTGCTGGGACCTCACTGGGGTGCGGTTTATGGCCCCCCCGGGGAGGTGTCCCCCAGGATGAGCTGGTTGGGGGGCTATTCCTGGGTCTGATGGAAGTGTGTGGGGGGGCACCAGTGCTTGCGAGCCCTTGGGAAGGAAACGCTGCTTTCTGCCTCAGGCAGCAGGGACGGGGTGAGCTGGGGTGGGGGGCACCACTGTGGGCACACATGGAGCACCCCACTGCCCCCCAGCTTGCAACCCCACGCCCCCCCCAGTGTGTTTCAGTGCCACCTGGGGGTCCCACTCAAAGCCTCACCAAGCGCCGTCAGCTTTTGCAAAGCCCCGAAGAGGGAAAACGATGAAGCTGGAGAGGTTTTGGTGGCCATTAGGTCCCTCGCTCCGCCGCTTGCCAAAACCCTCCCCAAGAGCTTCCCAGCAGGGCCACATCCTGACCCAGAACGGGGAGCGCTGAGCCCCAGGGGAGCCACAGCAAGGGTGGCGGGGGGTGCAGGGGGACACAGCCCCAGCGACGAGCGCCGGTGACCTGCAGCACCCACCGCCTGCAGCACCCACCCCCTCCGAGGAGACAGCACCCGGTGCAAACGGGCCAGGATGAGGCCCAGGTTGCAAATCTGCAGGAGAGATGCCAGCGCGGCCGCAGCGCCGCTGCTTGGGCAGGCATGAACCCCCCCCCCCCAAAACCCCCCCAGCACACCCACAGGGAGCGGGGGCAGGCAGCCGGTATGGGGTCGCTGCGCACTCGGGTGCTGGAGGCAGACCCCTGCCCGTCCCCCTGTCCCTCCCCTCCGTCCCCCCCCCCCCCCAACTCCATCCCCCCTGCACCCTACCTTCAGCAGCCACCGGGTGCTGTTCTCCAGGATCCTCTCGAGGTGCTGCAGGCGCTGGGCGGCCCCGTGGCCGGCGTGCGAGGTGCCGAGCGGCGAGTCCCGCTGCAACAGCGCGTTGGCGGGACCGGGGGCGACGACGGGGGCAAGGGGGGCAACGGGAGGGCAGGGCGGCGGGTCGGCCTCGGGCAGCACGAAGGTGTAACTGCAGTGGCCGTGCTGCACCCGGTGGTAACGGCGGCGGCCGCCCGCATCCAGCGCCCGGCGCTGGGCTCCGGCCACGCACAGCACCGTGGTGGCACAGCTCAGGGCCACGAGGCCGAGGCCGAGCACCCACATGGCGCTGGGGAGGGGGAGGCGGAGGGGGGTCCCCACGGTGCAGGGGTGGGAGCGGGGTTGCGGCGGCTGGGGGGGACGCGCCGGTGCTTCCCGCCGCTCTTTGGGTCAGTGGGCGCTCGCCGTTGAGTCGAAAAGCTGCAATTTCGGCATTTCCTCCCTCTGAGCCGGCTCCGGCCGCCCCGGCCTTTTATCACCAAGCGGTTGCAGCCCTCGCAGGGGGGAGAGGGGAAAAGAAAAAAAAAAAAAAAAAAAAAAAAAAAAAAGAAAAACAAAGGAAAAAATCTGTTTAAAAACAATACTTCTATCTTTTTTTCTCTCCTCCTTAGCCCACTGCGGGGAGATCAAGTTTCACACGTGATCTATAAATGTCTCGTACACACACACACACACACGCACCCGCACACACGCGCACATGCAGCCCCCCCCCCGTCCCTCCCCCAGCTCCACAAGCCTGCCGCCCCCCTCGCCCCCCCCCGGCCGTTCTCTGCGCAGCTCATTGCACCTCCCAGGGTGGGCAGCACCACGGCAGCACCGAGTCCTCCCACCCTCCAGCCCCGGCACCCAGCGAGTGCCCCCCCCTCTCTGCTCAGCACCCGCTGGGACACCCCCATCCCGGGGAGCGGAGCTCCCTCCCCGCGTCCCGGCTATTTATAATGCCAGAGAGGAGCCAGGCCTGGATTTGGCTTCTCCTGCCGTGGGATGAGCCCGCGGGGACCAGGACGGGGGCTGTGTCCCAGGCGGAGCTTGGCAGGACCCAGCCGGACCCTGCTCAGGGCTCGGGGTGCCCAAACCCTGGGCTGGGGGTCAGCCGGGGGCCGGTGGGGGTCACCACGGCTGCCAGCCTCCAGGCTGGGTCAGATCCAGGCTGGGTCCCCCGGGAGGGGACAACCACGGCGGTGGGGACAGGCTGGCGTGGGAGAGTGGGATTCCCCGGGCACGGGGATGCCCACGTGCCTCAGGAGAAGGAGATTTTCTCCCAGCACCGGGGTGGGGGGGGTGGGGGCACCCGGGTGTCCCCGCATGCTCAGGCACCGAGTGATGCTGCCGATGCTTTAAATAAAAACAGCAAAAGAAAATCTTTGCCCAGACTCCCCCCGTGCCTGGGGGCCAGGGCAGCGCGCCCCCCGCCGTGCCGGGAGCCAGTACAGGTTGCAGGATGGAGGGGCCCGATGCTGCTGGCTGCATTTCCCTCACATTTCAGGGGGTGGGTCCGGCTGTGTGCTGGAGGGGCTCGAGGTGGGGGGCACAGCTTACCCCGCACCCCTGGCAGTGCCACAAACCGGCGCAGAGCCACAGCGGGGTTGGGGGACGCAGGGGGTAATGCCATGGTCACAGCCAGCCCCCCCCCCCCCGCCCCAATCCCCCTCCGGCAGCGCCTCGTGGAAATGAGGAAAAACGGAGGCGAGAGGGACGCCGGAGGTTTAATACATTTATTTGACATGAAGCGAACGGAGGAGCTGCCGTGGCGGCTCCTGGGGCCGGCTCGATGCTGACACCCAGCGCTCTCATCCCGAAGGGACCGTGCCCCCGCAGCCCCCACGGCCCCGACACCCCACTGCCAGACCTGGCCTCCCCCCCTGCCCACGCTGCGAGCGGGGACGGGGGGGGGGCTCTGACCCCGGGAAACCCCCAAATACAGAGATGCCTGTGGCTGGGGCAGGAGTTTGAGTGAAACACACGTTCAATACGGTGATGCAGCGCTCCGGGCCTCACCGTTTATTTCTGCAGGCAGCCGGCTCGGGGGGAGGCACCGGCACGGGGCCAGGCTCAGCACCCCCGGGCCGTGACATTTGGGAGGGGGCTGCGGCGGCTGCTCCCAGGGGGTCCTGGCCGGGCGATGCAGGAGGCAGCAGCATCCCCTGCCTGGGCTCGCTCCGGCAGCTGCGGTCAGGGGGTGCACACCCCCTTTCCTGGACCGAACGTGGCCATGGCCCCCCCCAAATTCCCGTGCCCACATCCAGCTGGGGAGAGAAGCTCCTCCAGCCCCCTCCCCCGGCAGGCTGCAAGCCCAAGGCTGGCAGGATTTAGCCCATGGTTGTGCTGGTGGGATGCAGAGCGCCAGGCTGGGCTGCCATGAGCAGTCGCATGGACCCCAGGGGGGTCCCAACCCGGGGGGGGGGGGTCCCACCGCCCTCCGTCACGGTGGCTGAGGATGGGGGCCCCTATGCAGCACCTGGAGCAGCTCGGTGGCACGCTGTGCACCCCAGCACCCCCGTGCAATCCGGATCCCCGTGGGGACAGCGCATCTCCCAGCCCCGGGGGACGGTACCCAGGCAGACACGGGGTCCAACCCTGGGATCAACCCCATCCCACCCAGCGGGAGCAAGGGAAGGGACGGAGCAGGCTGGGGGAGAGGGAAAAACAGAGAAATAAAGGAGCCACCCCCTCCCCGAGCCCCAGGGCTTTGCTTTGGACACTGCAAATTAGATTTTCTGAAAAGGAAATGTTTTACAGGCCATAAATTGTCTGAAAAGAAAGGGGGAGGGGGGGGGGGGAGAAAATTGTGCAATTTTTTTGTGGATGGAAAAATGGGGGCGACGCGGCCGGGGTGGTGCGGTTGGGAGCCGGTCGGGAGCTCTCCGTGCCGCCGGCCAGTGGCACAGGGAGCTCCCGACCAGCTCCCGCCGTGCCGCCCCGGCTCCCGTGCCGGTGCCGCTAGGTACCCACGTGCGGTTCTGTCTTCGGCTTCTTCTGTCGCTTTTTGCCTTTATTTTTGTGTTCGGTTTTCTCTGGAACAGAAAAAAAAAGAGGAGAAAAGGAGGGCTCGTTCATCAGCCGGGCAGCAGGAACTGGCGCAAGCCCTATCCATGGGGTGTGGGTCCCGCATCCTCCCTTGGGTGTTGGCACAGGGCCCTCCCCCCGATTTGGGGGGACCCCAGAGCCCTCTCCAGGTCACCAAATGGCAGCGTGGGTCTACAGGGGGGACCGCGTGTGTCAGCGGCATGGGCAGAGGGACACTGATGCGTTGCCCCCCCAGCTCCCATGACCAGACTCTACATCCTGATGCCCCCAAAATCGCCAGCAACGAGCTGGGGGGGCAGCTCAACCAAACCAGGGTTGGCCACCCGGAGAGCCCCCAACTTCTCTCTGAGCAGGGACTGGGGATGTCACCCCAAATTGATGCCGTGGCCATGCCCGGCTCTGCCGCGGTGCAGGGCTGCGCCTCCCCTCGAGATGAGGGTGCTGCCCACCACCGTGGGCTTGCACAGGACCCAGCTGGCCCCTCGGGAGGGTTTGGGCAGGGTGGGACTCGGGGTGCAGCCATGTGTAGGTGCTGATGCTCTCCCCGGGGACACCCTCCCAGCCTGGATGGTCCCAGTAAGGCCAACCCGCTGGCAGCCTGCCGTGCCAGGGACTCAGCACCACGCGGTCACACCGTTGGGACCCCAATCCCTGCGTGTCCCGAGGAGCCACCCCCAGCACCCTCCAGCTGGCCGAGGTGTCGGTGCCGGGACACCAAAGCAGCGAAGGATGCAGGATAAGCCCTGCCTTGCCGCGGGCTCCGGCGGGAAGGGATGCCTGCCCCAAAATCGGGCCAACCTCACCTCTCCTTCCCCTCCCGGCACCCACCATGTGCCCTCCGGACCCTCAACTGGGTGACACGGTGGGATCCGTGCTGACGTCCCCACACTGCCCCTGCACGAGGGGCACGGGGACCGCGACCGGCCGGTGCTGCGTGCGCCAGTGCTGTTGCCGCCGATCTTTTCCGAGGGCTCCAGCTCTTTTCCTGCCCAGCTCTGTTTTTCGGCTCCGATCTCCCAGACAGTTGCCACCCACAAAGGAGAGGGCACAGCACGAACACCAAGCGTCTGGAGAGCGCGGCAGACACACAAGGCAGATTTACAGCAGCGTGAGGGGTTTTGTGCCTCGGCCAAGCGCGGATGCTTCTCCCTTCCAGCTGCCCGGGGACGGCTCAGAAGTGGTGGCACAAATCTCTCATCACACAGTCGGGTCCCGCTGCCTTCCCTGGCTCGCCCGGGCTGGGGGTGTCTCGGCTGCATCAAGTGAACTCGCTGTCCTCCTCCAGCATCTGGATTGCATAAGCCAGCGCTTGGCCGGGTGGGCAGGAGCCTGGGAGCGAGGGCAGATGCACACTCCGCCGCGGCGGGGACGCCGAGCAGCCTGCCCGGGAGCTGGCAGCCAAACCGGGCTGCCAGACACGGCGGGGGTGGCGGGGGGGGGGCTGCCCTCTCCTGCCCACCCGGCCCGGGGACAGCAGGCAGCGGGGGCTGCTGAAGGGATTTTCCTCCACACCTTCTTGGAGCCAGACCTGTCTTCGGAGCTGAGCCCACATAGCAGCCTCAAGAGAGGAGCCCTGCCATTCCCCGAGCCCTATCACCACAGCCTCGGGGCTGCCGGCTTGCAGGAGCGGGTGGCCAAGCAGAGCCAGGAGGCCCAAGCGCTTTTTCTGGGGGGCCGTTGCCTTCCCGCTCGCCTCACGAGACGGGGCGCTGTGCGCCAGGCAAGGCTGAGCACCGGCACCACCCGCCCAGCACCGCGCCGCGGGACGCCGCGCTCCGGGGCGGCCTGTCCTCCCACGCCAAACTTGCTGCATCAAACTGTCACCAGCTCTCCGGGTACGGAGCCGGCGCAGCCCGGCAGGGAGGGGAATGTCCCCAAAATCGATGCCACCTGGCACCCCGAAGCTGCGAGTCGGAGCCCGGGCGGGGATGGAAATCAGCTCCTCCGTGCTGTCAGCAGGAAAATATTATTTATGACTGATGGTGCTGAGATGAAGCCTCTCTCCTGGCTCCACGGCCCCAGCCTCAGCATGCACATCTTTCGTTACTGCCTGCCCTTCTCCATCTTTTTTCCTCTTCCCCTCCTCGCAGTCCTTTCCTCCGCCGCCCTCGGCCCCTGCCACGCTGGCAGTGCCGGCCGGCGCGTCCCACGGCACACAGCGAGCCCGCAGCTCCCGATCGCAAATCTCTGCACCGCTGGGGCCGGCGGCTCAGATCTCCTTCCAAGGCCCTACAGATCGGTATCTCATGCAATCCCCCTTTCTGCCAGTTATTAAACGGAGATTTATTAGAACAGCTTTGGTCCAGCCGGTCGCATCCAAAAATGACATCAGCTGCTTCCCGGTTCCCATCGCCAGCCCCGCACCCGCGCCGCGCGGCCGGACCTCACGCCAGGGCTGGGTGCTGCTAGGGGTGGCGGGGAGCCCCATGCTGGGGAGCCCCCCAACCTGGGGGACGCGGTGCTGCTGTGCTGGGAGGAGGCGTGGGAGCAGGGGCAAACATCTGGCCGGGCGAGCCACGGAGGGGGACCCTGCCCTGGGGCGTCTCCCAAAGCTTTGGCCATCAGAAACGCCCTGGGTGATGCCCCTCAGCTCTGCGAGCGCTTTTGGGTATTTTGGGAGCTCGGAGGTTTTTGCAGGAAGCTCCTCTGCGGGTCTCAGCCTTATTCTTTATTCGCAAGGAGCCCCGGCTGTGCCTTTCCCTTCGCAAGCGCAGCAGGACGGGAGCCGGAGCTCGGCAGCCTCGTCCCGCCGCGGCGGCAGTGGAAGGGGCCAGGGGCCGGTCCCAGGCGGTCTCGGGGGGTGCCGGGTGGGAGCTGGTCCCCACCAGCCCCGCTGCCAGCACCGGCGCCAGCGTCGGGGCTGCTCAGCACATGTGCTTGAGACGGCGGCTTTCTCCAGAACTGCACGGTCCCAGCCACCGGCCTCAAAATGTTTGAGAGATGACAGGAGGGCTCGCCGGCCACCGCCGGCCCGCTGTCACTGCCCCCCCTTCCCACGGGTCCCTCGGGGGCTGGGGGATGGCAGGCGGTTGGGGTGCTCACCTCCCGGGCAGTGCTTCCTCATGCGGCATTTCCTCGTCTCCAGCAGCGCGGGGCAGGCGGCCCCCTCCTCCCGGGCGGCCCCCGCCACCTCCCGAACCCGCGTCTCCACACCCCACTTGCAGCCGCAGGTCCGGCCCTCGTGGGTGCAGGCGCTCCACTCGCTCCAGGGCCCCGGCTCGCACGTCTCTGCGGGGGGGAGAGGGGTGCACAGTTGGGGGGGGGGGCGGAACGGTGACCCCCACAGCACCGGGCGCATCCCCAGGGAGCACGGGGACGGGGTGGCAGGCGCTGCTTACCTTGGCACTCGCGGGTGCCGGGCTGCGCCGCGGTGCTGGGGGGGCACTGCCGAAAACACTGGCCCTTGTGCAAGTAAAACTTGTCTTTGCACTTCATGCAGAAGTCTCTGCTGAAGCAGCTCTCGCAGCTGGGAGACCTGCACTCTGCCGGGAAGGAGGGCTGGTCAGCTGGGCGAGCGCGAGGGCCGGCACGTGGTGAGCCCGGAGCCGGCAGCCCTGGTACCCACCGGGGACCCAAAACCCTTGGCAAATCGGCAGGATCCGGGCTGCAGCTCCGGGCAAGGGAAAAGGAGGAGGAAGCCCCGCGGCCCCCGCGTCTCACCGCAGCCCCCGGCTCCGTGTTGCCGGGGAGGCCGTGGGAAATGCAGCAACGCCCCCCCCCCCCCCTTTCCCATGGCGCTGGGACCCGGAGAGCGGCGAGGGGCACTGGGAGAAGCTGGGAGGGGAGCTGGCTGGCGCGGGACGTACTTGTGCATCTGTTGACCTCCAGCCCCCGTACGCCGAAGTAGCCGGGGGGGCAGGTGTGGACGCACATCCCGTACTGGCGGATGCCGTCCCTCCAGATGAGCAGGAAGAGCCGGTGGTGGCAGGTGATGCAGCCGTTGTCCTCCGAGCACAGGACGCAGCCCGTGCAGTTCTCCAGCAGGCTGGCGCTCACTGCGGGGGGGCAAACGGAGGGGAGGGGGGCTGCGGCACGGCTGCGGCGCACGGGCACGGCACGGCCGAGGTGCCGGGGAGGGTCTCATCCCCGTGGCAGCCCCCCCTCCGACTCGTGGGGGTGACAGTGGTGTCCTGTCTCCCTGCAGATGACACCCCATCTCCTTCCGGTCCCCAAATCCCACCCTGTCCCCGGGCTGGCAGCGTGGGGACGGGCAGAGCCATCGCTCCCCGCATCGCGTCTCCATCGCCCCAAGGCTCAGGGCTGAGGGTTCACCCCGCGCCCAGCTCGGCCCAAGGGTGCCAGCCTGAGCCCTACGCCCATCCCATGGGAAGCATCCTAATGAGGGCAGAAATATGCTCTGACCTGGATTAATTAGTGGATGCCTGTGAAGTGTCAGGGGACAAAGAGCATTTTGGAAACCATCAAGAGGAGCCGAGATAAGGATCTGTCTGGTTGCTCAAGAGCCGCCACCCTGGCTGCCTTCGCCCTGCGTGACAGTGGCTGGCCCCGAGGTGGGCTCTGCCCCCAGGGACAAGGTCCAAGGATGGGGTGCCAGCCCCCCTGCCAGCCTGCAGCCCCCCGTAGGACCCACAGGAACCCCGCCAACCCCTCCACCTCCCCGAGCCGGCTCCCTGCACCCAGAGAAACTCAGCCCGGAGAGATGCCGGGACTTGGGGAGCCGGGTAGCTGAGCAGACAGGGACCAGCCAAACGTGCCGCTGCGCGGGGTGCTGCCCGCCGTGGAGACGGGCTGCAGCCCCGGGAGTGATCCCCGGCACTGATCCTCTCTGCCACCCAAGGAGGTGACAGCAGAAGGGTCCCCGCGGCTGCGGTGGCCGGGGCAGAGGGGCTGGTGCTGGGGGGAGATGCTCTCAGTTGATGCCTCACGGCCCTGCGTGCTGGTCCCCAGCACAATTTTTCCCAGCGCAAACCAGTCCCTGGAGCAGCGGCGTGTGTAGCTGTCCCCCAGACTGGCTCATCCCAGTCCCCATGCCAGGGCACAGGGGTTTGGACAGCAGCACGGCGTGGCGTGGCCAGGAGGCTTCGTTAGGGCTGCGTCTGCTGGGAGCGCGCTAACGAAGCACCTTGGATCTATTAAGTTGTTATGGTCTCCGTTACATATTTACCAAACGCTGACAACATTTGTGTTCCTGGCTGCAGCTGGAGCGGCTTCCCTGGAGACCCAGGGATTTACGAGCCTCTTTCCCTTCCCTAATTCTTTTTGATGATTTTTTTTTTTCTTTTTCTTTCTTTTTTTTTTTTTTTTGCTATTCTCCTTCCAACCCTCATCTGGGACAGGGAAGGTGGGGAGCCCTGCGCAGGCTCCAGGGCCTCCTTCCCGTCACCGGTTTTGAAAATAATCCCGTGGTGTGGAGCTGGGGGAAGGCTCGCCCAGCCGGGTTCTGCTCCTCTGCCCCACGAGCCTCGGGGCTGCCGGCATGGCACGTGCCTCTGCCGCCGGGAGCAACGCCGGTGATCTGGCGGAGAGATGTGGCTCACACCGAAACCGTGGGACTGGGGAAACCGGGGACGCTTGGGTGGGTTCACCTCCTTCCCCCCCGCCCAGTGGAGATCGCAGGGGTTGAGGTGGGATGGGCACTGGGCAAGGGGCACACGGGGTACTGGGGTGTCTGGGTGCACTGGGCTGCCCAGACCGACCCTCCGCGGCAGCAGGGCACGGCTGGAGGCAGGTCCCGGCGGCAGTGGGGCGGTTGTGGGGTGCTGCAGCATCCCCCCCCGGACCCCCAGAAACCACACTGGCCCTTCAGCACTGGTTATACAGGGAGAGACAACGCGTGTTCAAGGCAGGGAGCAGGGACCCTGCGTGCTGCCGGGACTGGGACCCCCACGCACCCCATAGCATCGGGCCACGCAGCATCAAGCACCGGTGGCCGGAGCACCGGCCCTGCGGCACCCCGAGCCCCTCTCAGTGCCAGGTTGTTTCCGATCAGAGGCGTTTGGGCTGCCAGCCTGGCCCCCCACACGATCACACGCGCCCACTGACTCCACACGCCTTTAACACGCAACGGCCACAGGGGAAGATGTCCAGGCGCCAGCCCCGGCCCCCGAGAGCCCCGGTCCCACCATCTCCTGTCCCTACCCCAGCACACACCGGTCCCAAAGCCAGCTCAGAGCCAAGCATCAGCCCTGACCCCGCTCCCCACGGCCGGGTGGCACTGCCCGGCGAGGGGACACGAGCGGGTGCCCGCCGGAGGGGTGCACATGCTTCGGCACAGCCCCGGCACACATTCTGCCCTTGCCCTGGCACCCAGCAGCAGCTCAGCTGGTGCCTCTGCTCCGGGGAAGGACGACGGGGCGGGGGGACAAGAAGTGCCTGCAGTGGTTTTTACTCCCCAAGCACTTAATGCATTAAGCAGAGAAGGGAAATATTCAAAAATCAGCCCATGATTTTTTAATATCCCCATGTGCCCGGCTCTCCTGGGGTTTGCAAAGCTGGTCCCCGTGCCAGCCAGCGTCCCCCTGTCCCCTGCCAGCCCCGAGGGCAAGGCTGGCATCGGGCAGGCAATGCCACGGGGCTGGGCATCGCCTTCCGTGCGCACCTACCCCACGGCAGCCCCGTGCCACGCACCGGGAGGGGAACGCAGCCGCTCTCCGACGGGGCCCGCGGGTCTCTCCTTCCAGCTCAGCCCCGTTTCACACCTCCTGCTCCTGCCTGCTCCGCGCTGGCAGGGGAGGGAGAGGCCGGCAGCCCCACGTCCCCGAGCCGCCCCGTGGGACCTGTGCGGGACGAGCCGGCCACACGCGCCGTACCTTGCTTCTTCCATCGGTTCTGCGTGAGCATTTCCACGGAGCTGATGAATAACAGCAACATGAATATTATCCACTGCATCTGGGCAGGAGTGGTTTCGGGCAGGGAAGGAATCAAATCATCCAAGCGGCTGGCGGGCTCGCCTCCTGCCAGAGCCAGCCGAGGGGCGGTGGGAGGGAGGAGAGCGGAGCCGGGCTCACACCATCCCACCCCGGCGGTGCCGCAGGCGCGGAGCCGTGCTTGAAGGTGGCATGAGCCGGCGAGCCCCGGGGGAGGCAGGGGGCTGTCAGGCCAGGGGAGCGCTCATGGTGACGGGGAACTGCTGGATGCTCCGGGGGGGCTGTGTCTTTATAGCCGGTACCAGCCCCCTCTCCTCACCGGCCCCCCTTTCAAAATAGTAATAATTAAAATCAACAACAACCACCAAAAAATCCCCCAGCAGCAACAAAGCGACTCGCAAATTGGCTGCAGTACCCCCGCCGGAGTGCTGCAGCCACCACCTCGGCTGGGCACCGTCCCGCTGTCCCGCCGTGGTCCGTCTGTCCCGCTGCCATCCCAGCGCCGGGGTCACGGCGAAGCCCCCTGCGATTTGGGGAGGGGTGGAGCCAGGCGGGTGACGCTGCCTTGCGCCAGCCCCCCCCCCCCCGCCCCCCCTTCCAAGGGCTCAGCCCCCCCCTCCAAGGGCTCAGCCCCCCCCCTCCGCCCCCCCCCAAAGGGCTCAGTCCCCCCCTCCAAGGGTTCAGCCCCCCCCTCCAAGGACTCAGCCCACCCCTCCCGCCCCCCCCCAAAGGGCTCAGTCCCCCCTCTCCAAGGGCTCAGACCCCCGCTCCCAGCCCTGGCAGCCCCGGTGGGGCTGGGGGGGCCGGCGGCAGCCCCCCCCCGGCACGGCTGACCCCCGGGGCAGGCCGGTGGGCTGGGAGCCGCGGTGGGGCTCCGGCAGCTCCGGCACCGGCTGCGGATCTGCCCTTGTTGTCCCCCAGGATCGCGGCTGAGTCTGATTTTCCGAGCGCCTCGTAACTCACCTCCCTCCGAGCTGCGGGAGCCGCGCCGGGTCGAGTCGAGCCGAGCCGAGCTGAGCCGAGCTGAGCTGAGCTGTGCCAAACCGAGCTGAGACGAGCAGAGCTGTGAAAAGCCGAGCTGCGTTAAGCAGAGCTGCACTGAGCCAGGCTCAGCTGAGCTGAGCTGAGCAGCGCTGAGCTGTTCCTGGCTCCCACGTGGCCGCCCACCCCCCTTGCCCCATGCAGTGCTCCCCAAAACGCGCCCCGGGGGCTCCCGGTGTGCCCGGAGAGGGGTGCAGAACAGGAGGGGGAAGGGGCTCGGCTGCGAAACCCCGCTCACCAGGTACCCACGGGTGAGCCACGGGTGCCAGCGCCGCGGGTCCCCATCCTGGGAGCTCCACGTGCTCACCCCGCCTGCCGGCCCCGTGCCCGGTGCCGTGGCCCGGAGCAGCCTGGTGACCTCCCTGACCAGGGCTCCAGAGCCACCGGTGACAGCCCCGACGGCAGCCCCCCAGCAGCACGCCCACCCCCCGCATCTGCAAGTGCAAACCACGTTGCGACCCTCTCGTCCCCCTGGGGAGGGCACAGAGGGGGCTTCTTGGGCCGCCTCCAGCCCCCTGAGCACCCCTGGGATGGATGCTGACCACCCCCACACCCATCCCACACCCCGGCCGGCTGCAGGGCGCAAGGAAATAAAAGGGCCAAGATTCAGCTCCTATCTTCTGGGAGAAAACCCAACATTTCTTGAGCTGTGCTCAGGTGGTTCTGCCAGCACGCTCGGGCCTGATGGCCTCCAGTCTGCTTCACTCTTGCGGGGGTGCGCTGATTTTACCGGGGTTTGCTCCTGCAGGGAAGGCTGAGGCCGGCCGGAGTGGGCTCGTTCCCACCTGGGCTGCTCTGGGTCTGCTTCACCCAGGAGGGCCAAACGGGGTGGGGGACCTCTGAGCACCACCAAACTCACAGCACTGGGGAGGGCCGCCCACGGGGCTGCAGTCGATGTGTCCATCAGTGCCCTGACCATGCCCAGGGAAAGCACATTGGGGTTACCTTCCTCCCTACCCCCATAAATTCCTCCCTCCAGCTCCCCATCTCCCCCCCAGCCTCCCTGAACCTCTCTCCCCGCCGCTCCCGGCCTTTCATTCCCAACGAGTTAATGTTTCAGACAACAAAGGAGCAGTTTCAAACCCCTTGGGCCTTGCCGTAACGGGGAGTAATAACGGTTGGGATCACTTCAGGTTTTTTCCTAATGCCAATATGAAATAAATTGAAAAATTACCCATAAAAGGCAGGTTTTCAGCATCTGGCTCAGCCTTACTTTCCATAAACAACCAAGCCCGCAACACGGTGTCCCCATTGCTGATCTGCAGGGGCTGGGGGGGGCCCGTGTGGGCACGGGGTTGGCGGTACCATCCCAGCGTGGGAGCTCCAAAAAATAGAGATATGGCAATGGCATTGGAGATATTTGAGCCACTGGTGCTCATGGGCGCTGCCGGTGAGGGATGGCCACGGCCGGGGGGAGCCGCGGGTCCCGGCTGGGCTGGCACCCTGGCAGGGCTCGTGGCAGCTCCTCGCCCCGCGACGGGGCCAGCCCAGCTCCCCGGGAGCTAATTGGGAATTTTAATTATCTGGGCCTGGAAGGAAAACGCTGTGCAAAAGCCAGGGAAGCGCCTCGTCCCCGGTCGCGCTCCCCGGCTGCTGGCACGAGCGAGCGGATGTCGGAGCGAGCCCTGCCACAGTGACCCTTCTCGCAGGAGGAGCGCGCTAATTAGGTGGCTCTCGTTAGCACTGGGAACGGCACGCATGCAGCAATTTGCTCGGCTCATCGCTGGGCTGCGCAGTAGCGCGGAGGCTTTGCCAAGGCCAGCGAAGCCGCCGGTCCCGGCTCCTCGCCGGTGGGTGCCGGGTGTCCCTGAGGAAGCAGAGAAATCCTCTCATTTGCCTTAATTTGGCTATCGGTGACTCCTCCTCTGAAAACTGCAGTGGGAAGGGATGGTGTATTGTCCGCTGATTGATCGGGCGCCTGTTACCCCCCTGTTGTGCCGGGAGGTGTCTCGGGGGGCTGCGGGGGGTGGGGAGCTCGGCTGGTGGTGACTCATGGGTGCTGCCAGGGAGCAGCAAGGCTGAGCCCGCGGGTGCCGCTGGCAGCTCCCGGCTCCCTCTTGCAGCTCCGCTCCACGCCAGCAGAGAGGGAATGAAATGTTCCTCCTCCGTCTTCCAAAGCACCAGGGAGGAAAGTGTCCAGGAAGATAATTTGGAAAGTTTGTTTGACACTTGAGCACGCTTTCATCTTTGGAAAAATCTTGGTGACCCTCCAAGGCAGCACCGCCTGCTTCCCGGCACGGCCGGAGCTCAGGGCACACGCCCGTGGCACCACCCCAGGGGCTTCTTTTGGGGTGTCTGGGGTTCCAGAGGGGACAGCGAGGTCCCGCCGGGGCCACACGTCAGCCAGGGATGCTGGCACAGGGATGCTGGCACCGGGGATGGAGGCACGGGGATGAAGGCACGGGGATGCTGGCACAGGGATGTTGGCACCGGGTTAGGATGTTCCCGGTCAAGGCAGCAAAGTGAAAATGAAACGCCTGGAGCTGACTGGCAGTGGAAGGAAGGAGAGAGCAAGGGGCAGCGGGACGTGGGGAGCCCCTGGCCAAAGGCAGGTTTTCCCCCCAGATGCAATGAGCTTCCCATGACGGCTGGGAGGGATAACTTCTCCGGAGCGGGGGCCCTCGTGCATCCCAGGCGATGAATGTGGGTTTGATCAGGGGAGTGTTTGAGCGGATGGTAGTGGATAAGGAAGAAAAATATTTGGCATTCCTCTCCCATCATAACAAGCCCAGATGCTTGGACGGTGGCAGCCCACTTCCCACAGGAATGGAAAGTCACAGCCGCTCCCCGCGCCAGCTCGGCAGAGGCCCTTTCCCCCGCGCTTATGAAATACCAGCTCCACCTAACGCCGCACCGCGGCCCTCGCCGAGCATCCCGCGGCACGGCCACCTCCGTCACCCGAGTTCCCGGCAGTGCCACTGCCCATCACCCCGGCTCCGGGGGAGGCAGAGCTCAGAGCTCAGCAGATGCTCAGGGAAACCTGTTGGGAAAGGCTAAACTGCAGATTTATTGCCCGGACAGGAGCATGGAGCAGCCGGGCGCTCCTCCTCGCGCGCCGGCATATTGGGAACACCTGGGCCGGCAAAGCCCACGAGGGAGCAGAGCTCCGGTGAGGCTGGTGCTGCTGGGAGCCGTAATGGGAAGCAGCTCCTGCTTGGCCGGAGCTGGTGGGAGCAGCCGGGCTCTGTGCAGCGGGATGCAGCTCCAGCCTGCCCGGCAGCCCCTCTCACCACCTCCCGTGCCGGCACACGGAGCCGGTGAGGCCCCTCGGTGCCGGGATTCCGTCGGCTCTCCCAGGCAGGGAGGATGGCGTGAGGGCGGCCGATTCCAGCCCTGGCGTCAGCCAAGCGCGCCGAGCAGCCTGCGGCACGTTCGTTGCGTGCTTGCTCTCTTCCTCCTCCTCCTCTTCCTCCTGCCATGCTCCAGCCGGTCCCGGGATTGTGCTGCCCACTGGTCCCGCTGCTCTCAGGGGGATGCAGCACCCCAAGAGGTTTCAGGTTTGCCTTAAGGTTTCAGGTTTGCCTTAAATCAAATCTTTCATCTGAGAAGGAGCACCGGAGCTCCCGCTCCCCTCCTGCCAGGGCGGCTGCTCCGGCTCCGGCTCCGGCCCCGGCCGCCGGTGCGGCTGCGCAACCTCCAAGTGCTCCGGCTGCCAAAACAGAAGCAAAACCCGAAGATGGAATCGGTGTTGAGCAGCGGCGAAGGCCGAGGGGCAGCGGGAGGAGGAGGAGGAGAGGGAGCCGGGAGGAGGAAAGGGAAGGCGAGCAGTGAGGTGGGAGGGAAAGTTTGGTGTCGAAACCGAATTCCTGGTCCGTGCCAGCGCAGCAGATTTCCAGTGTTTATTTTATCTCTTTAGTTGAGCCCCTTTGAGGCAGAATATATTAAATGGCTTGACTTTATATAATGGAAATAATTGAAACAATACTCCTGCTTCCCAGCCGCAATTTGTCGTGATTTCAGCCAAGAGTGGCCAGCCTCCTCTAGGTGGTGGGGACAGCCGCCGCCGTCGGCGCTTGTTCGCTGGTTATTGTTGACACATGTCAGCGTCGCCTTCCAATTTCCGTACAGCTGTCAGAGCGGGAAAAACACCACGGTGGCTCGCGCCGGGCGGGCTCGGTGCCGGCAAGCACCGGTGGGCTCACCGACGGGCTGCGGGAAGGGCATGGCCCCGGCGCTGGGGCTCGTCTGCCGTAATGGGGCCGGCGGTTACGGCTGAGCCGGGATTTCTCCGGGAGAGGTGGTGTCTGAGCAGCACTCGCAGGTAGCCGGGAGATGAGGATGGTGGAATGGGGTGAAACCTGGGAGGAGGGAGGATGCGCTCGCTCGCTGCGTGAAACCATCGCGCTTAGACCTCGGTGTTCACCGGCGGAGGTGAAAGAAGGAGCTGGACGTGAAGGTTGGGGGTTGTTGAAGGTTTTATTCATCTCCTCCCCAGCAGCGGGTGGGTGGGTGTTGGGGCAGGGTCTCTGCAGAAATCACCCCCCAGCCCCAGCGTCCCCATGGGCGAGGGCTCGCACCGAGCGCCGCGCTCTCGGTCGACATCAACCTCCATCCCGCGTGTGCCGCTGAGGCTCTGCCATCTCTCCTCGCCCGCCGAGGAGCAGCTGAGCTGAGTGGCCAAAATAAGAGCAAACGCGAGGGCGAGAAGCGTCCCGCACGTTGAACCTGGCCGTAAACCATCGCCCCGCTCCACAGCACTGCAGGTGTCCTGGGGAGAGCTGACGGGAGGTGAAACTAAAAGCAAAAGGAGGGGAAGGTCTTCAGGGAACTGAAACACAGTATAAGAATTGCTCAGAAATCTTCTTGCCGTTGCAATGATCCCCCTGGCTGTGCGTGGTGGGGGCTCTGGGATGGTTTCTCCAGGAAAAGGCAGCGAGATGAGCCGCACGGTGCAGGGTCAGGAGCCTGGGGCTTGGGACAGTGGGACGGGGCTTTCGGACAGCCTGGAGACATGAAATTGCAGCATTTCAGCGGATTATTATGCCGCCAGGGAGCTGGGATTGCCCAGAGCAGGCGGGTGCTGCTGCTGTGCCCACCGT